ATCAATGATTTGATTGATTAAACTTCAGATATTTACAATAATACCACACCGGTTACTAGACAAAAGATTTTTTTATATTGAAAAACACTTAAATGATCTCTTTAACCATTTTATGTTTATTTTTATGGTTACCCGCCGTAACATGAAAATATATTAATATACCAAAACATGCATGCACAATAGTGTCCAACAGTTTGGGGGCAGTATGATATTTTTTATGTTTGTGAAAGAAGTCTTATGTTCACCAAGACTGCATTTATTTGATCAAACAAACGGTTAAATTGTAAAATATTATTGCAATTTAAAATAAGTTTTTTATTTGAATATATTTTAAAATGCAATTTATTACTTTGATGGCAAAACTAAATTGCAGTCATCAATGTCTCATAATCCTTCACAAATCCTTCAATACATTTTTGTGGAAAACATGACATTTATTTGAAAAACTTTTTTTGCAACATTTTAATTTTTTTATTTGAATATATTTTAAAATGCAATTTATTACTTTGATGGCAAAACTAAATTGCAGTCATCAATGTCTCATAATCCTTCACAAATCCTTCAATACATTTTTGTGGAAAACATGACATTTATTTGAAAAACTTTTTTTGCAACATTTTAAATGTCTTTACTGTCATTTTTGATAAATTTAATTGCATTCATGCTCAAGTGTTCATTCTTTTCTTTAAAAAATCCTAATGACCCCAAACTTTTGAACAGATATATTGATACATATATAGGCCATGATATTGGTTATCGATGATCAGTTTATATATGGCACAAAGTTCAATAACACTTATTAGGACACTGGTGGTGGGAATGTCCGAACACCCTTTAGGAAAATGGCTTTCTCCCAGTGCAGGATGTCACTTGGGATCTTTAATTAAATGTCCAGACTATTACAACTGATTATGGACAGGCTTTACACCAACACACGGCACAACATCAAAGACCCTCACGGTTCTCCTCTCCTTAATCACACACACACACTAATAATAATCTGCCTTCATTCCAGTGCCACGGCGGAGGCTCTAAATGCTAACACTGAGGTCACCAGCAAGTAAAGGCCCTTTAAAAATAGTGACAAGCAGGGAAAAAAATGAAACTAGACCCCACTTGCTTACAAACCCCACCCCGTCCCCTTTAGGCTTCTAAACCCTCATCCCTCCACTCATTGGCTGCCGAATCCAGCACCATTTTAAGGGACAGAGGCTATTTTCCACTCGTTCCTGAAGCTTCAGTGACGACTGAAGGGGGAATATTTGAGGGAGAGAGGGAAGAGGAGAGGAGGGGCAGCTGCAGGGGAGGAGGAGCTAAGAAAATGAACAGCCTATAAGAGCCGTGCATTCCTCTCCCGCCCCTTTAGCCATCTCAAAGCTTCAGCCGAATATCTCATGCTTTTCTCCTCCAAATTTCAAAAACTCTGCAATACTTTACACCCAAATTAAGTATAATAAAAACCTTATGCCCTATCAAATGCATCACAACTTATGACAACTGGAAAGATTCTGCTGACATTTACAACTTCAAGTGGACTTTCAATAGTTTTGATGGAGAAAGCAGCTTCTAAATATGTATTATGAGCTGTAATTTTCTTTTCAAAGGAGTGGATAATTTTTCAAAAGTGGGAGGACAGCAGCTTGGCTTCACTCAGGAATACTGTAGGAGTTGACGTGTCAGAAAACATGTACAGCATCATGCTTTAAGGTGTAAAAACACATATCTTGATATCTACTGACTAGCCCGTCTTTGCAATTCCACAACAGAGACCTAAACACAAACGGCAAAAACACACATCTGTCTGTAATCTAGTTTTTATTTAAACACCACAAATAAAAGAGTAAAAAATATAGACTACAACAGCTCCCAATAAACAACTAGGCCTAGTTGTTATATAAAGTATTTCCATATGCATTTCAAATAAGTAAAGGAATAAAACACAGTGAAGTGCAGGGAGTTTTACATAATTGTGGACAGAATGCAAAAAAGATCCCTGTCAGGCAACGGGCCAGAGACATTGATCACTGCGGCGGACTCACTCAGATGCCATCAGAGCTGAAGGCATGAGAAGATGAAGCTGCCTTAAAAAAAATCCTGTAATTACTACTGACTTTAATTACTTCTGGCTTAGTATTAATCTACATGTTGGAAAGACTCATTAATGCCTTTGAAGAGGGAGGCCTGGTCTGGATGAGATCAAGGCAGTATATGTAAGGCATTTAAAGTGTTGCCTAATAGGCCATCAAGAGCACAAGGACCATTTTAGACGGTTCAACTTTATTCTGTGCTGTTTTGAGAGGGCAGCTGTTGAAGAGCTTCTCTACTCAGCCACCCAGAGGTCAAAGGTAAAGCCCTGGAAGTGCTCCATCCAAATACCGGCTGTCAGAGCCGGACATCCTCAGATGGGCAGCCCTACAAAACTGCCTTCATAGCTGCATATCTCTGCAGCAGAGACAGATGAACTCATTTTTCATTTTTTTCCAATCTTCATTTATAATATTTAGATATTTAAGGCAGGATACTATAGGCACACCTATTGTTTTTTCATGCACTAGTCAAATTTTTTTTTTAGTCAAAGCTATTTTGCTTTCATAGCTCTTTCTTTTTTGGAAAGAACTAATGGTAAGGAAACATCCTAAATACATCGTTCATTAAAAAAAAATCGAATTTATTATACTTTATCTATTTGTGTTTGTAGATTTCAATTGCAATACATATTTTTAAATGTTGTTTTCTCAATATTACTTTTTTCTCATGCACTGAGCCAGAAATATTTCGTTTCACTTTAGTTACACCAAACTTTCCAGTTTTATTCCCATCAATATACTTACGATTTTTACTGAGGTGTTTGTTCTTATATCATTTGCCTAATTTATAGAACACTTAATTCCTAAAAACATGGTAAAAATGTATTTTTATTCTGGCTGTTGACAGTATTTTCTGATTTATGGAGTGATTAAAAAAAATAAACACTCTGTAAAAACCAATCTGTAATGAAAAAATATATATGTCAACAGAATAAACCAAGAATTTTGAACCTGATTTTATCCAGTGTTCAGATTTATTTTCTGGATTTTTATGCAAATTAGTGCGAACATAATTACACAGTGCCTTATTTTCATAACATTTCAGAAAACATAAACATAACATTTCAGAAAACTTGGTGTTAACTATTAGTTAAAATGTGTGCCCTATTCACCTGTGGTGTCTTGCTGTAATATATATATATGTGTGTGTGTGTGTGTGTGTGTGTGTGTGTGAATTTCCATGCATTAATTGTTAAATGTTAGTTTACCTCCTAACGTCCTAAAGCATCACATAACTGACTTGCCTACATTTCTTTTACTCAACAGACAACTAAATAGCATACCTACTTAACTATTCCTGTTGCTGACTGGATTGAAAAAAGAACAAATCAAAGTCCACTGCTTCTTAAAAACACACTAAATAAAACATGTGCCCTTTTAAAGCACTCTACTTATGCAATTCTTCCTGAGCACTTCTGCCTCGTGACAGAAAGAAGCATGTTTACGTTGGTCTCCAGCCACATTACGGGCGACCGCCGCTGACAGACACAGAGCCCAAAACTTTCGGTCTCCAGCAGTTTACATTGCGCCTTTACGACGACTCCGTTATATAAACACACACACACTCGGTCATCGTTCTGCATCAACAATAACACACTGTCATATAAAAGCATATTAAAAGTGAACAAAAAACGCCTTATTCTCACTTCTGTTCGTGCAAACAGTCATGAAATGCCTAAAATGTTTCTTGTCCGCGGACTCAGGCTCGCAGCCCGCTCGTTTAAAATGGTGGGTACGTTAACTTAAAGCTAACAAAACGCGCAACGGCGAGCAACTTCAACACACAAAAACACCTCTCACCTTTCTCAGCATTTGACGAGAGTATCTCCTCCTCCTTGGGGTTCGTAACCTGCGTTATTATGGACGTGTTGTCCATGGAAACGAGATGTTAGCTCCCTTTCCCAGCGAGTTCTGGCCGTGTCCGTGTCTCAGCTTGTGCTAACAGCTAGTCGAGTTAATGGCAGATCTCCAGCCAGCAGCAGACTGCTGTC